TAACAAAGCCAAAGGGATGGAAAACAGTTGAGAACATTCCTCACCGGACCAATGAAGTTGTGGATTACTGGAGCCACCCACGGATCCACCAATGGACATAGGGACTATCCCTATTTAAAGGGGCTTGGGGATGGGGGAATAGGATATGTTTTTTACATTTTATGATTTTGTACATTGATTTTGAAGTGGAAATCAACTCAATCGATTGATTATTCTTTGTGTATCTGCCCCTGACCAAATTAATGAAACAATGCGTGCACGCTCCCTGAAGTAATTCACACCAGACACAAGTTTCAGGTAGTTGAATAACTTGAGGAATGTTTATTCAGAGGGGACGGCAAGTCCCTTTTAAAGCAAAATTACATCATAAGCATTGTCAGAGATAACATGGAATAATACGGTATCAATTGGTTAGGTGTAGTTATCTTAGTGCTCTGCCTACTAGAGGTGATGTCACTGAGACCATGAGGGTCTCCCCCAGATTTCAGCGCCATCTTGTTACACGAGGTAGTTAGTCGAGGTTATAAGGAGGGAGGGATTAGAAACTTCTAGCAGCCATTTTGTCTAAATATGCGTGAATAGCTTATCTGATTTCTTTTTTTTGTGAATATAATTTTTATTTATATTGGTTAGTCAAGATTCGAAGACTCGCAGGTCTCCAAGGTGAGTTATCAAAGGGTTAGAAGGCATTTGAAGTATATAAAAACAGTAACTTTTAGTCGGGCTCGCAGGCCCACAATGTTGACGGACTTGCAAGTCCCTTTTAACTTATTTTATGAGCCTTTCTCAATTACAGTTCAGTACATTTACTGCAGTTGTAGTTTGTGTACGGGCTATACAGAGGCACGTCGGCCTCTCGTCCGACTTACTGGTCGGGATGACCCGACTCCTTGAGAGTTTGATGTTCAAGTCTCATGTGTGCCCTCTTATTGGCTTGTGTGTCTACTTGGATTGGGTTTATTATCTCTTGGCTTTCCTCTGGAGGGGGGAAGGGAAAGTTAGGGTTGGGGTAGGGAGGGGTGTGGGGGTAGTCAGTCGTCGCCTGTCATCAGGTGTGTGTTCCCTAAGTCCTTCCTGTCTGTGGTGTGGCAATTGTCAAATCTAGTTCCCTTTGGAATCCTTCCTTCGCCGTCTCTAGGATCCAATGTGTCCATATGTCCATGTAGGCTGTCGGGAAGTGTTAGTCGTCAGGGTCAGTTCCTCTATTGTCCTCAGTTCCTCCATTTGGCTAAACCAGGTCTTAAGTGGGGGTGTTATGGCCTGTTTCCAGAATTGGGGGAGCACTCGTTTGGCTACATTGAGTATTCGAATAGTCATAGATTTTTTGTATTTGGAGTGAGGGGTAGAAGTGTGGTGTAGGAGCATTGCTGCCAGTTCCAGGGGGGGTGGTTTGTCCGTAAATTTCTCTAGCATTTTGTGGATGTTTTGCCAGTATGGTTTGATCTTTGCGCATTCCCACCATATGTGTGTGATACTACCCTCCTCTTGTTGGCATCGCCAGCATAGGCCGGGTTGGTCTGGGTCTATCTGGTGTAGGAAGTGAGGTGTCCTGTACCAATGTGTCAGAAGTTTGTAGGCTGTCTCTTGTGTTTTGCTGTGCGTGGAGCAGTGGTGTGTGAGGTAACATATGGACTCCCATTCCTTATTTGTCAGCGTGTACCCGAGGGCGTCCTCCCATTTCCTCATAAATAGGGGTGTCTCGGTCGGGATGTCCCGTTTGTAGCATGGTGTATAGGAAAGATACACCATGTGGGAGCGGGTCTGGGTGCATACAGACCACTTCCAGTGTGGTGTGTTGTCTAGTGAGCGCTGAGCCCTGTGGTAGGGTATGGACGAAGTTGGCTAGCTGGGTGTATCTGAAGTGCTGCATGAAGGTCGGGTTCGTCACTGTCGTCATGTCTGTCAGTTTTTTACATTTCTCTCCCTGCAGGACATGGTGTAGGCGTGGGTGTGGGTCTGGGAGGATGTCTTTAAAGGCTCTTGGGTCTAGTCCCGGGGGGAAATCGACGTTGTGCGTCAGTGGTAGAAGGGGGGAGGGGTATGGTGACATGGTCCCCTTCCTTGTTATCCTCCTCCATACTTTCATGGTGTGTTTTGTGTATATGGACATTTCGCCCCATTTTGTCGTTTCACGGCCCCAGGGTAGTCCCGAAAGTGGTCTGCCTGCTTCCGTCTCTTCCACCTCCTTCCATAGTTTGTGTATGCCGTCTTTTGACCACTCCACAATTCTCTGGAGGTGTGTGGCCACATAGTAGAGGTGGAAGTCTGGGAGGGCTAATCCTCCTTTATCCTTAGGTCGTGTCAGGGTAGAGAATTTCACTCTAGGTTTCCGTCCGTTCCATACGTATCTGGTCATTTCTGTTCTAAGGGTACTGAAAAAGGGGCCCGGGATCTCGATGGGAATGGCTTGGAGGAGGTATAGGAGGCGTGGGAGGAAGTTCATTTTTTTTTTTTTGTAAATATAATTTTTATTTCCTGTAATTGGGAATAAAAGGTAATTATTGTGCAGACACGCAGGTCTGTAGGTTGGATTCAGCGTATTAGTAAAAAATAAATAAAAAAAAACAAAAAGGAAAACATGCAACAAGGCGGGCACGCAGGCCCAATAACAAAGTCGGACTCACAGGTCCCTTAAGTCAACGGTAAAGCTTAATTTGACAGAGTCCCCCACCCCCCCCCCAGAGAATTCTCATTAATCCCGCGTTCCCATGTTGTTTGGGGCAGATCATCCATCTTCGTCCAGTTTGTCAGCCCCTTGGGCTGGGCACTTTGCCTACTTCTATGCTGTCTGCTGCCCTCCCCGCTATTGCCCCTCTAGTGTTCAGGTATACATAGTTGTATTATCCTTATGTGAGAGAGGGACTATTGCGGTCCAGTCATGACTTGTTCTTAAGAGGTCACATCTAATGAGGACCTTAGTCATTGACGGACTGTGGTGATATAGTGGGCAGGGGTCCCATGTCGGAGGGGGATATGCATACTGGGGGGGATGTTGCCCCTGTCTGTTGGACTTTTTGACAGTTGGGTGGTATCCCCCATTTTAGTATATGGGAGGGTAAGTGGGGGGTAAGGTAAGCGTAGGGAAGGAGGAAGAGGGTCTATCCGTCGTCCATGTGTCTATCCAGCCGGTGTAACTCCCTGTCATTAGGTATGGAGCAGTGTCAGGAAGTCTTGTGTCGTCGTGGTCAGTATCCAGTGGGTCCAGATGTCTAAGTATGTCTGATGTTGTTTTTCAGTAGCTGACATGGCGAGCTCTTCTACCGCTCGTAGCTCTTCCATGTGCGTAAACCATTTAAGTATGGAAGGGGTCTCTGTTTTCTTCCAGTATTGTGGTATAGTCTGCTTGGCCATGTTTAGAATTCGAATTGTAAGGGACTTTTTGTATTTAGAAATTGGTATAGTCGTGTGGTGGAGCAGCATTGCTGCCGGGTCTAATGGTGGTGGGTTATCAGTGAAGCGGGAAGCTATTTTATGAATTTTCCTCCAAAATGGTTGTACGAGTTCGCATGCCCACCAAGTGTGTAGGGGTGTACCTGTTGTCTTTGCGCACCGCCAACATAGGCTTGACCCGTGAGCGTGCGTGTATTGAGTCGTGTCCGTGGTACAGTACCAGTGCGTGAGTATTTTATATGCTGTCTCCTGACTCTTGCTAAAAATGGAGCAATGGTGGGTGACCTCACAGATCTTTTCCCAGTCAGCCCCACTAAGTGTGTGATTGAGGGCCTCTTCCCATTTCCCCATGAAGCGTGGCGCGGTCATGGGTGTGAGTGTTTGTAGGAGGGCGTAGAGGTGCGAGATGCCATGTGGCAGTGGGTCAGGGTCTGCGCATATCTGTTCGTAGGCGGTGAGTTCCCTAGTAATGGCTCCTGCGCGGGGCAGGGTCTTTATGTAGCTCGTCAGCTGTGCGTAGTGGAAGTGGGTTGCGAATGGTTGTGTGTGACCCCCGCATAAGTCAGCCAAGGTCCTCAGCCCCTGACTGGAGCACACATGGTGCAGCCTTGGCATTGGGTCCTGCACCAGGGCCCGCAGTGCCCTAGGGTCCGTGCCCGGCGGGAAGTCAGGGTTATGTGTGAGGGGAAGCAATGGGGACGGGTGTGCGGAAAGCGCGTGTCTACCGGCATTGCCTCGCCATATCCTCAGAGTTACTTTCGTATACGGGGAGTAATGCGCTTCCCTTCCGTCCGTCCCCGCGGGGAGCCACGGGATAAGGGCGGCTGGGAGCTTAGCTATCCCCTCCTCTGCCTGTTTCCATAGTTTGTTGACCCCAGTCTTGGACCACTCCGCAACACGTTGCAGGTGGCATGCCTTGTAGTATAGTCGGAAGTCCGGTAGAGCCAGACCCCCTTTGTGTTTGGGTTGAGTTAGCAGTGTGTATTTCAGTCTGGGTCTCCTCCCGTCCCAAACAAAAGCCCCTAGAGCCTGCCGGAGCGTGGCGAAAAAAGAGGATGGGATCGTGATGGGCAGGGCCTGGAAGAGGTAGAGCAGTCTCGGTAGAAAGTTCATTTTTATTACTTGGATTCTACCCAGCCAGGAGATGTGCGGGAGGGCCCAGTCCCTCATGTCTGTACGGAACTAAGCTAGTATCGGAGCGAAGTTCGCTGTGAATAACTCCGATTCCTTAACGGTCAGCCAAGTCCCAAGGTATCGGATTTTGTCTGTGGCCCATTGGAACGCAAAGCTCCGTTGGAGCTGTGCGGGGATGCTTAAATTTAAGATATAGGACTTTGAGAAGTTAATCTTGTACCCCGAAAGCCCTCCAAAGGCCTGAAACTCCTGCACTAAGTTGGGAAGGGAGACTTCCGGGTGGGTTATGAAGAATAGTAGGTCATCCGCATAGGCGGCTAGCTTATGGTGTGTGTCTCCTATGTGTACCCCCTTGATGTCTGGGTGGTGATGGATTGCGGTTAGTAGGGGTTCTAAAGCCAGAACGAACAGTAGTGGGGACAATGGACACCCCTGTCGCGTGCCGTTGTATATCGGGAACGCCTCTGTGGGTGCCCCGTTGACCAGCACATGCGCCGTCGGGTGAGTGTATAGGGCCCTAACCCATCCCCGCAGGTATGGTCCCATTCCCATGTGTGACAATGCCTGGAACATATACTCCCAACAGACCCTGTCAAAGGCCTTCTCCGCGTCCGTGGATAGCAGGAGAAGGCCTGTGTCGTCCCCTGATGTTCTGTGCATAATCGTGAGGGCCCTGATGGTGTCGTCTCTGGCTTCCCGGCCCATCACAAACCCCACCTGGTCCGCATGGACCAGAGAGGGCATGTGCTCCTGAAGCCGGGTCGCCAAGACCTTGGCCAGTAGTTTAATGTCATTGTTTATGAGGGATATGGGCCGGAAGCTCCCGCAGTGCTCCCTGTCCTTGCCCTCTTTCGGAATTATGGTGATATGGGTCATGAGTGCCTGTGTGGGTAATTCATGTCCCTCTCTGATGGCGTTGAACATGGCCAGTAGTGGGGGATACAGGGTCTCGGCATAGCTTTTATAATATTTGAGAGGCAGGCCATCGGGGCCTGGACTCCTACCCGGTTTCATGGATTTGATGGCGAGTGCTAGTTCCCCCATGGATATTGGTTCGTCTAGTTGATCTGCCGTGTCCGCCTCCAGGGAGGGAAGCCTATGGGTCTGTAGGTAGTCGTCTATTGAGGCCCGTAGGGAGCGTGACTGTGCGTCTGTGTGGGGGCGTGGGAGGGAGTAGAGTTCCGCATAGTATGTGCGAATAATTTCTTGGATCTTGGCCGGGTGTCTGTGTAGGACCCCTGCCTTGTCACGGATTCTATCTATATACGTGTCTTGTCTCCTTTTGGCCAGCATGCGCGCTAGAAGTTTTCCGCTTTTGTTTCTGTGTATTGCAAAGAAGGCCCTGTTTCGTAATGCGTCCCTTTGATAAGTTGAGTGGAGGAGAGTGGTCAGTTCCCTCCTAAGGCGGAGGAGTTTGGCCTGGTGTGTGGGGAGTTGGTGTTGTTTGTTAAGTGTGTCTGCTTGTTCTATGTCTGATAGCAGAGCGGCCATGCGGGCCTCTCTCTGTTTCTTCAGGAGTGAGCTTTTTTGAATAAAATGCCCCCTTATGACACACTTGTGTGCCTCCCAGCGTATGGTGGGGGGGGTTTGTTCGCAGGTGTTGTTTGTAAAGTAATCCCGCAGTGTCTTCCCAATGTCAGATGTGACCGTTGGGTTAGTGAGCAGTGATTCATTTAACCTCCACTTGGAAATCTTGGGTCTATGGAGGGGGGAGTGTAGTTTAATGGTCACCGGTGCGTGATCTGACCATGTCACGGTGCCCTGGTCTGCCTGTAGGACCAACGGTATGTGGTGGCTGGGAACTAGGAGATAGTCTATGCGGGTGTAGGAGTTATGGGGGTGGGAGTAGAAGGTGAAGTCCCTTTCGTCAGGGTGAAATGCTCTCCAACAGTCCACTAATTTCGCTCTAGTCAGGAGAGCTTTAATGGCCGTAAGATATTGCAATGAAATGTGTGAGTGACCTGAGGAGGAGTCCCATTTGGGGTCCAATGTTACATTCAGGTCTCCGCCTATTATCAAGATGCCTTCTTGAAAGCCTACAAGTGTGCGGAGCGTCTTGGCCAGGAATTTATATTGCCCGCGGTTAGGGGCGT